GACGGCCCCTAGGCTAATGAACACCCTACCAAAAAGTACAAAGAGTCCAAACGGGTTGTATCAAAACACGTTGAGACAAGGGGAGCGATCCGAATGCAGTAAGATAAATAGTTCTTAAATTATTTAAACATCATCATAGTAAACAATAACGAGCAGGGTTCTGGCTCAATAGAATAAAAAAAAAAGAATGGTATGGAAGGTTATTACACAAAGCGCATGTGTGATGGGGCAACAAGTGAGGAAGGACAGAGTCAATATGACTACATGGAAAGAAAAGTCTCCCGGGTGACTGGTAACGCTGAGCTGCAGTGGGAGAAGAGCCGACGATAGACGCCAGCCCTCGCGATGCCACAGGACAGCGGATCCCAATTCTGCCAACACCTCTGCGGGCCGCGCTCTCCTCCTCCTCCTCTGCAGCTCAATGCGAGCCAGCCGGGGAGCCCCGGCACTGAGCCAGTGCTGTCAGCAGTGCCAGGATGGTTGTGCTCCAGCTGATTCTATGGGTGGGGCAGGGAATGTTTTCTCCTTCTGGGGACAGTGCCACCCTGTGCCAAGTGCTCCTCGCCTGCCACCCGGCTCTGCCCAAGCTCCCTGCCGGGATGAGCCACCAAGCACCAAGCCCGGCTGTGCCCACCCCTGGGATGGCATCCAGCCACTGACGAGCAGCCAGAGATTCTCGGAGGGGAACCAGGCCTTCCTCAATGTGATGCCTGGCTTTGAGCTGTGCTTACCCGAGAGGGAGGGGACTGCAAAATTCTCTTTTTAGGATGATTCAGGTCCAAGACATCTTATTAATTTGCCTTGTTGAAAATAAGGTTGTTATTTGGGCAATTAAAAAAAAAAATTGGCACAATTTACAGCTTGAACCCGACCCGTGTAACACAGAAGATCCCGGATCAGCCAGCACAGCCCTGACAAGTGTGTTTTGCTGAGACTGCATTTTGAGTTAAAATGAGTAAAACAAAGGCAGGATGAAAGAGAAAAAAATAAGCCATAAATAAGAGAAAGAAAGCGAGACAGGGAAGGCGAGGCTGGGGCTCCAGGCAGAGGCTGAGGCAGTACACACTTGAAGGAAGAGAGCTCATCGTAACGAAACTGCAGCTGCAGAAAGTGCTCCTTTATCCTCAGGAGTTGGACAAGCTCCAGCGAGGATTCTCGCCCTGCTTTCCCTTTTCACCTCTCTGGTCTGGCAGAGAGTTAGTGCTTAGGATGCAATGGCAGGGTTTTTTCTTTTGTTTTAAATTTCCCTTACAAATAGAAGTTAACGGAAAGCAATGTCCATCCCAAGAAATCAACAGCATATTTAAAAGATCTGCCCCATCCCCACCCCGTATTTTGAGTAAACCCCCCCCAACAAAAAAACCCTGACCAACCAAAAAGGTTTTCTTTTTTAAGTCTTAAGAGACTTTGAATGATTGTTCTGCGAGGTGCTGCTGGGACCCTCCATGCCACACGTCTGACTGTGCTCACAAATTGCCGAGTCACTGTCGCACTCTTTGCATTTCAGGCTTTCTTCTGCCGTAGTGTTCATCTCACCATTGTACCCCTCATGTCCGTTCTCACTCATCTCCCTTTGTGACTTCTGCCTTTCATCTTCCTCTTCCTCCTCCTCCTCCTCTTCTTCCTCCTCTTCCTCCTCCTCATCTTTTACTTTATGAACGATGAAGAGGTGTCTGTTCAGAGAGATGTGAGAGGTGTAGCACAAGCCGCAGAACAAGCACTGGTAGGTGGAGCTGTCTGTCTTGTGCTGAGGTATGTGTTCCTGAAACTGAGTGCTGACGTCTGTCGCAAAGCCGCACTTAGCGCATTTCCAGTGCGCTTTCAGTTTTTTGGCTGGTGGCACATCTGAACCCGCAGCGCTCTCCACTTGACCCACCTCATCCATTGCCATCCTCTTTGGAGATTTTGCCTTTAAAAATAAAAGATTAAAAAGTCACCTTGTTGTTTGAGTCCCTGGAAGAAGTAGTGCTAAACTCACTAACTGTGTATCTGCAGGGTGAATACACAAGGGTATTTTGATACAAACTAAACAAGGCCATGCCAAGGGACTCCTGTTGCATTGCCTTTCCCACCAGTACGGACACAAACTGGAACACAGGAGGTTCCACTGAAATTTGAGAAGAAACTTCTTCTCAGTGAGGGTGACAGAGCCCTGGACCAGGCTGCCCAGAGAGGTTGTGGAGTCTCCTTCTCTGGAGACATTCAAAACCCGCCTGGACGCCTTCCTGTGTAACCTCATCTGGGTGTTCCTGCTCCGGCAGGGGGATTGGACTGGATGAGCTTTGGAGGTCCCTTCCAATCCCTAACGGTCTGGGATTCTGTGATACCCAATCACCTCACCCCAACGTGCAGGATCTCGACTGCTGTCTTGCAAGGCGAGATGGGAGACCTGGGTGGTGTTTGCTGGGCAGAAACATGATGGGGAAAGAGAATGGGAACTTGGTATGGGAAAGAGGAGCTCACAGAGCTGAGGGAAGCAGGGATGGTCATTAGCCCAGACCATGCTGCTCAGATTTAATATTTTCCCCTCCACTTAGGCTTTTCCTTCATGGCATCTCTCATTAACTCATTCCCCCTGCTTTATAATCCTACAGCATGCTTCACCTCCCATGAGGATGGCTTGCTGGCATATCTCAATTTTGTTATCTCCTTATCCAGCAGCATTGAGCAGTCTTTGTTTAGGATACACCTTATAGGCTTGTATTTGCAGACCCAGCTGGAGCCTCATGAAGCCACCACCTTCCCCCATCTAGCTGGGTGCCCTGGTACGTTGGCTCCACCAGCTCTTGGAAGGGAATTCATGAGTTACTCCAGGTTTTCTTACGGCACTGCAATCCCTTAATGCTAGGGTACAGATGAACGATAGATACGGAAAACGTGTCCATTTTTAAAGTCAATGGCGCAAAGCAGCCCAATCAGCCAACCCTCCACTCCAAACCAACCCAAAATTAAATCAGCTGAACAGTTAACATTTGCTGAAAAAAATTACACAGTCCTACGCAGGATGAATGCACTCTTGTAGGTAATGGATCTAGTAAGTACTTTAAAACAGAAAACTCTTGTTACTAGCCGAAAAAACAAGGGAGAAAGAGGAAAAGCGTACAAGGATAATGAACAGAGTGGCAGGGCAAAACAAGGGTAATAACAAACCTAAATCGGGCCTGGTTACAAAACAGACTGAAAAAAGGCCAGTGAAGCACAGGGCCGCATGTTCAAGAATATCTTGGAAAATGCAAGACAAGTTGCCCTGGTGCTGCCGCAGCTCAGCTGCAGTTCAGTTCTGATCCCAACACTGCCAGAGAGAAGCAAACTTTATGGAGTTGAAGGGAGGGGAAGGAAATAGGCCTTATGGACGAGAGGGCTTGACATAACACCCCAAGTGAACAGCTACTCGCCAGATACATTTATTTTTCAATCAAAATATATCAGTTACTTCTGCCGTGTCTCTCTCTCGAGCTTTTGCTTTGGCCATCCGGGATAAGTCTGGGTTTTTGATGCCATGCATGAGGCTGATGTGATTCTCCAGCATGAACGGCTGAGGAAATGTCTGATTTTCATCTGTGCAGTACCTTGGAAATACGAAAAGGAAGATTCATTAGAGGAAATGCCCAGCTATTTGTTGCCATCCAAACAGCTCTTCGTTATGTGCCAAACCAACAGGTGTCATTGGAGACAGGGACTGGTGAGTAACATACGATTAGATTACCAAATATGTAGCAAATCATCATTTTAATAATAAAACATTACCCCAGAGAGAAATCTAGAACAGTTTAGAATTTACCACAGTAAGCATGAATGAGAATGAAAGTAAGGCATGGCTTATTTACAGTGCGGTACTAAATAAATGGAGGGACTAGTGGAGATCAGGCCCACTGTGATACATGCTACACAAGCGTAAGATAATCAAGGTGGAAAACGCATGGGAGAAAAACGAGCCTCAGATGAGAGACCTCAGCACAGGGGGACCTCATGACTTCTGTAATACCAGGGAGGCCTGCAGCAGAACCAGGCTCAGCACCCAGCGTTCCCAAGCACCAGTGCAGCATCCCATCCATGAGACCACGTGTATCATAACGCATTTAAAATTCTTACAAAACTGCTGAACTTCCAACTTTAATAACTGTAACCTAGGCAGAAGCACTCGTGAATGCATCATTTATATGTAACTATTCATGTTAAAACTTGGTGGGATTCAAGAGCTGCCAGAGAGCATGGCTGACATTTCAAAAGAGATGGAAAGGGGATGTGCCATCTGTGAGCCTTCACTCCCAGATGACCAAGGTCTACTAGAAATAAGTGCCAGGTCTTGCAGACACATAAACCACCCCCCTGCAGTGGTGAAGTACACAGAGGTCTCTGTTAGCAACTGGGAAACCCAAGATTGACTTTGTACTCTTCTGCTGCCTGCTGGTGTGACACAGGGAAGGTCCATCAGCTCTGCGTCGACCCAAGCAGTGAGGCGAGTTACACCGGACTTCTCTGAAATGCCCAGATTGCAGCTGAAATGTAGGCAGCAAGGGATGAAAAGCAACAGGGAGGAGATGAAGCATTTCTGGGCAACAGAGACATCTTTTAAAAGGAGAGAAGAAGATTCCTACAGATCTTCCAGTAACCAGATGGAAATTAAACAACAGTCAGTAATGATGTGAAAATGCAGACGTGCTCGTTGAATACTTCTGGTTTTTAACAGGAACTGCTTAGATGATAAATCAATATTTAATAATGATGGAATTTTTCTCCCTCATGGAGGAAAGATGAGAGGTTATTAAGTGGTATTTATCACAACATCTCGAAAATCAAGTGTTTCAGACAGTTTGTTCTTCAGACTTCAAAAATAAGAGCAAGTTCTCATAACAATAACCAAGCAAATTATGAAAGAAAATACACAAAACATCAGAGTATTTTGCAATTTGTCCTCATTTAGAATTCTTTTCATGTGAGCAGGGAAAGATGCTTTCCTAACCTGAATTACTCCAGTGAGAAGCTTGGCAGGAGGGTGTTCAAGTAAGTCCTCCATCACTGGTTTCTCCCTATGAATTTAACAGAAGGCAGCAACCTAAGCAGGGCAGGGGGAGAAGGGGAAATCACAGCTTGAAATGTTAGAAGCCAGAGGGAGGGCACCTACAAGACAGCATGCTCGAGTCACACAGATACTCAATTGTCAGACCAATGACTAATACTACTCAAATTTACTCAATTTTTCCATTTTTCACATGGAAATCCAGGAGAAGAGGGTGACATGAAGTTAAGGCACCAAAACCCCTGTAGGGAATAACATGTGACACTGACGCAAACTGCCTGGTGGGAGGAAGGAAAACAGATGCCAGCACCCAAGGGAAAAGGAGCAGCAGAGATGTGATGCACAGAGCACAGAAAGGAGACAATGAGGAACTGAAAGAGATGGGAGCATTTGTGAGTGGCAGTCACAGAGGTGACTTTTAGAAGAGTGCTCTGGACAAACTTAAAGGGATCAAAGGGAAGACTGGACATAAGACCCCAGATCCAAACAAAGAGCTGCTACGGGGACACTGGGACAGGTATTTTAAGAAGAGCTTTGGTTTGAAAAGCGCTGTGGTTTCAGTAATTCTCCCACTACAATGATTAAAGAGACACAACCACTGTCCAATTAAGACTTCATCAGCAGATTTTGAGAAGGAGCAACTACAAGCTTGACAATTAAACACAACCACAATTCACTTGAACTTGTAGCTGTGTCTTCTGTGAAGCACAGTCACATGGCACGACCGTGGACCCTTGGGTGAAGCTGTGGATCCACAACTGTGTCGTTCTGAAAAGTTATAGAAAAACTGGACTCCAGGGCCTGTACAAGCTAACACACACAGTGGGCTGGCATGTCCCAGGCTGTTAGGTACATCTGTACAAATCCTTCAGCCCAGCTGGGCATTCATTCTCATTCTGATGCACTCCACTTTGAAAACAACTGATCCGGAGAGAACAGATTCATACACACCAGGTGCATGTAACCTGAAAGACTATTGCCCACAAACTTAAAGCAGAATGAGACACACTGGGACACTCAGGAATGTATGCCGACCAGGCGCCAGTGGAGATGCCAGTATTTTATCCATTCACTAAAAGCTATTGTGGCTCACTAGGCAGTCCACAGAAACAAAGTACATGAGGGACGTACTCTTCAAGACAGGCTTTTAGTAACTTAAGTGCAGTAAAGTGACAGCAGGCTCTTCCAGAAACACTTGCATTAAACCAATATTTTAGTTAAGTAAAAAGAAAAGTGCCCCAATCACCGCAAACTTCCCTTCCAACACAAATGTGCTTTAATTTTGTTTCAGAAGGATGTTTCAGAATGAGACAGGAAGAAAGTCTGCACGCTTGTCGGTACAACTTACTCTGCAACAGAAGATGAGAATGCAGCAGTTGTAGAGGCAGTTTTGTAAGCACTGGGTTTTGTCCTGAACTGAGACTATATTCACAGTTAAAATATGTTCACCAGCAATGATTTTCATTCACCGCTGATTTACACAGCTCATCTGAAGTCTCCAAATTCATTTTCCAACTCTGAGGTGTGTCTTCCCAAGCAAATCCAGCAGGCTTAATTCTCCATTGCTCTGCAGCTTATGCAGTCAGTCCTACCTCTGTAAAGTGGTGGCTACATCTAGTGCCCTGGTTTGTTAGGATTTTACACAACTTCTGTACCATTTTTTCACAGGGAAGTCACAAGAGTCACGCATGACTACACCAACCATGAAGCAGCGAAAGATTAGCCCAATCTCTCACTGGCTGTTCCACAAGGGTGTGCATTAGAATTCTCATGTTGCACTTGCAGATCTCAAAATCTTACCCTAAGTTTCCAAAGGGCATTGTGCAGTCACAAGCAAAGACTTATTCTAACCACCAAGTTTCTCATGCTTAACACATTCTTCTTCTTACTCTCCCTCAGTAACTTACAGCCTGGAGCAGACAGGAGCAGACACAACCTATTACAAAGGGCTTCCAAGCTTGAAGAATTAGCTTGTCATTTAAAGCAAATTTGAAAAGTGGTGTTCAGTACATACCAGCAAGTATAAACTTTCTTTGCTGTGTCGTGATTATTGCGGATGTGTCTACGCAGACTGTTGGAGGCATTAAATGAGCGTTCACACTGTCGACAGGGATATCTCTTCATAGACTAGCAGAAGAACAGAAATATCTTTTAATAACAGGGTGATGGAAGGCACTGACTGGATTCTAATGTTCCCACGCTCTTCACTTGGACCTTACCTCTCAGGTGCAAAAAAATCCCTTTTCCACTGATAAAGATCACTGAGATTTTGGGGTCTCAAGTGTACTCAGCCCAACAGCTGGCTAATACCAGCACTGGTCTTATAAAAACCAAGCCTAGGTAAAGCACACACTTGGCTTTTTAATTTATTTATTTATTTATTGTTACACAAGAATTGCATTAGCTGCTTCTCCTTTGGGCTCATTTCACTACAAGACCCTTTGCAGAATTAATTCAGTGGAAGGTCACTTCAGCCCCAGAAGGCGGCAGAACCCCAGTGTGAAGTGCAAGTCCACTTACCCTTCTCTCTCCTCATAATTCAGCACAATAAAGGGGCAAGATGTTAAAGAGCATCACACAGTCCTGCTTGTTATCCACGTCCCCCTATGCAACTCTGCCCTGTAACTTGCCGCCTCCTCCTTCTACAGTCTAACCTGCATGCATTCCATTTAAAATCCTTTCAGGCTGGTTTAATGAATACATGTATGTATTGGACTTAAATATTCAGCACATTTCATACTTCTACAGAATTCAAATGGGAAAATCCAGCATCCTCAGCCCTCCCCCATCTTCTTCTCTTGAGACTTATCAAGTGGGACAATCCAGCACTTCCCAAGTCAAGCTAGAAGGAATCGAAGACCATGATCCCAATCTCCACAGCCTCTGCTCATGGGACTCAAGAAGGGTGACTTCAGTACATCAAAAAAGGAGTCCTGATGCCAAAGTATTATGAAATCTGGCTGCACACAACATCTTGGCCTATGTTCTGCCAGTGAGCAAGGATTAGCTTGACAGAATTAGGTCAAGTCAACACAAGGCTTGAGCTTTATGAAACTAACAAAACTGAGATTTACAGCTCCTGTAATGATAGACAGTGCTCTGTGCACTGCATGAGTTTGTTACTCTTCCCTAGTTACATCAGACTGTTGAACCAGCAACTGGAGAAGACATGACTTTCCATCCACTTACCCAGATAAGCCAAAGAGGAAACCTGACATCAGATGCAGTAGGAGAAAGAACAGCAAAGAGGAAGAAGTACGCAGGCTGTAGAGTAAACGATCAAGGACAGAAAGTGTGCTTAAAACTGGCTACACGATTTTTCTTTGTTCTGGCCCTGAGCTTACTCCTCAGTGAGTCGGCAAACAGATTCTCAGGGGTATTTTGCCCCAAATATTAATGGTTATCAGACTCTTTTGCTAAAAATTTCTTGCTACCTAGTTGAGCTGTTTCATCTGAATTCTTACCCTTCCATGACTTCTCTTCATGTGGGACACAAAGGTTTCCCGATCGGGGATCCACTGTGAACATTCCTTGCAAGTCCAACCAGTTCTTCCCAGCCTGGACTTGGATTCCGGGTTGTGTCCTTCCACCCTCATGTCCTTCCTCAGCAGAGAGGAATGGGAAGTACCGTTGGCGACTGACAGCTCCTTTGGTAGGGTATGAACCCGGTTCCTTGATGCCTTCTCAGACTTCTGGCGAAAGTTTGAGAGCTCCTCAGGATTTTGGGGGATTCCATGAACACTCTGGATAACATAATGGAGTCACACATAACATTTATACGTAATTCATATTACACAACTTTAAATAAAGTTATAAATAAGTTTTATTATTTAAATAAATAGTTTAAGCTCTCCTTCAAACAGTATGCCTTGAAGCCAGCTCTAGTGCTTTTCCCAGCAAGAGGTTTTCCCAAGAAATACAAAGCTTCTGTTTATGTTTCCTGTGTGACGAGCAGCTCCTTGGTACTGCCTGTTTAACATTTTGGATGAGCTCTGAGAACTCTGGTTAAAGAGGGAAGATGTAATGGAAGAGAAATGTTAACTGTCATTATTTCAAGAGCCCAAGCTCTAAAAACACAGTGCTTGGTAAGCCCTGAGTGAAATGTTTGCTCTTATCTTGGGGCTTCCAAAGCTGTTTCATCGTTGCTCAAGGGACAGGAAGAAACAACCTCTCGGTTTCTCCAATCTGCTTCCTTCTATTCCACACCATCTATTGCTATTTACATTTGCACAGTTCAAAACTTTGCTCCTGACAAATAAAAGGAAGCATAAAGCCAGAAACTAGCCTTATAAGGAATATGGCTCCAGGCTCTTTGGTTGTTCAACAGGCCAAAATCCAAAGTCCTCCAAAAAGTTATTTTAACAAAGAAAACTGAACGTAAGGAAAATAATCCAGAAATGAAGAGCTGTGGGAAAGCAAAAGCAAGTAAAACAGCAACATAGCAGAGAAACCTCAAGAAACTCCCCCAGGAACAACAAAAGTTCATCCACACAAAAGGGTATTTTTGAGGTTTAATTGTGCACAGTAATTAATAATGGGTAAAGTTTCAACGCACGAAGGCCCCAGGCCTTTGGAAGCCTTTCTGTGGGTTAGACACCAAACAAACTTCAGAACACAAGGTCTCATCTGAGAAGCCTGTGTGCTTTGCACCTGATGCAGCTGACGTCTGCAAAGCTCTTTCATGAACCGCTAGGCAATGACAGCTGCTCCACATAACACAAACACTTCACCTTTCTCCTCATCTAGAAATCCCGAGTGCTTTCTGAGCAGACAGTACATTAGTACCCTATTCCTCCTGTTATTGGACCACTGGGGAGGAAAATCCAGGAGCACAGAGAAATGAAGTGACTTCTCTGCAGAACCAGTAACAGGAACCAGACTTTCTAACTCCTTCTCTTACGCTTCAACAACTGAAAGCCAGGAAAGGCGAGAAGGCACATGGTTCCTTTGTTCTGCATGAAGGCACACATTAGACAGCACCTCCTATAAACTCCACATTGCAAAAAGGATCTGATAGGGAAGGAGATGGGTGAGGAGATGAGTTAGTGCAACTACTACCCTGCCACAACCAAAAAGCCTTCTTCAACTACCATCTCAAAGGTCTGCTGATGGCCAAATACCACCTTGTTAAAAGACCAAAGTTTTGTAGTGGAGATGTCAGGGTGCTGGTGCACAAACCACTGCCCACCCTGGGGGTGGGATTTGCAAATGAGCAGCAACAAGTTGTGTACCTCAACCCAAGCCTGTCTTTTAGCACTGGGGTCGAATGGCTCCTTGAAGGTCCCAGCCTTAATCTCAACTCTACCTTCCTAGCTATAATACAGAAGATAAGCAATCATCAGCCTCACAGGAAGACTTCAAATTTTAATTCATCAATGCATGCAAAGCATTTCCAGATTTGCAAGTTAAAGGCATGGAGGAGAGAGCAAAGAAGTAGTTGCAAATGGTTTTTGCCTTCAGGAGTGAGCTAACGAATCTTCTTGCTTTTTAAGTGTAAGTATAAACAATATAGAGTCACTGATTAAAAAAATTACATCACTTTCCTTTCTGATCAAAGGGAAATAAGACTTTACAAGTCCTTTCTTCAGAATGCTATCAAGAAGTCTTCTGAGAGGATTTCCATGGCAGTGTTGTTACACACTGCACATAGAAACATACTGACTAAGACAACAGAAAAACGCATGGCTCACACATTCATGCAATAATCAGATCTGCGAGACCTTACACGGATCCCACTAGAAACCACCACCAAATAGACAATAACCAGCTTTTCCTATGTATAAGTGATGAATGGTAGTGAGATCATTGCACTGTGAGACGTCACTGTGGGAGGCAGGTTTGAAGCACTCTCTGGAACACCATTTCCATCAAGTTTTAGGGTTGCACACAACTACCCACTTCAGACCATCTTCTGGAGCAGTATGAGTGGTGCCAGCACGGGTGCACTCAAGCGGGGTCCCACCTCCCAAAGGCTGGAGAACACTTCTCCCTGTCTCGCAACCCCATATAAAGCTCCCGTCCTGGCTTTATCACTTCCTTGGGTTTAATATATGACAGTTAAAAATCAAAAATAGCTACCTGTAGAAAACAAGCCTTTGTCATAGGGTTAAATTACATACAGAGGAGAGTAACTGCCTGCAACCAACTAACACAAAATGTTCCACTGATGTTTCCAGATAATACTGTAAATCACTGTAGTCTATTTTTCCACTAATACATTCCTGAAGAACCTTCCAGTTCTTCAACCAATCTCCTCATACAGTTGATGTAAACTCTGTGAACTCAAAAAACAGGACCCCGTATCAGTAAGTGGTGGGAATCACCTACCTTAACGTGCTGCATTAACTGCTGTTTCTGCATATAGACCAGCTGACACTGTGGGCACTTAAACACTCCCACAAACAACTTGTTGGTGTTCTGCTGGAAGTGCTCTTGGAGCAGCTTCTTCTTGTTAAAGACTGTCTCGCAGGAGCATTTGTAGATCACCCTGGAACAATTTAAAAAAGTAAAGTCAGTCTCTCTTTGCTAGTTATCTTAAGAAGTCAGTGGAAAAAGTTATCTCATCTACTTCAGAAACGGATGGGCTTCCGAGGAGGGCTGTGCTCTCGGTGTATTGTCAACACACACCCACGTGGACAACTGAACCATGAACTCAACTGGGAAGAACAGCAAAATGCCTCAGGCACATACCACGGCTTTCTAAAAATAAATTTACTTCTATGCATATGGATGACTACCTACGTGTGTGTGTGTGAGAGCGCGTGTGTGTTGCTAAGTGCAGTCCCTTCCAAGCAAACTCAAAGTACACGAGCTAGCTACACATTACTTTCAATCCCACCTTTACACAGATCCTCCCATAAAGCACACATTTTTGGCACCAGCTCAAGGCTTAGAGGGAAAAGCTACAGAGTGGAAAAAACAGGAGGTTTCTCTCTAGTGATTTTTGGGGGCAACACTGCATGGTGTTAACTGTCCTCTTCCTTTCAAGTGCCGGATGCAGCAGCTGCCCTGCAGCCATCTACCAAGAGGTGCCACCCTGGGTCCTGCTAGTGACCATTACGTTCCTTTTACAGATGTTCAGCTCTTCCCTCCCCAAACTTCTCTCCTCCTACCCAGGAGACAGTGCTTGTACCAAGGAGGGGGGTGGTTGTAGGTCAGAGAGGTTCTCCTCCCCCTCTACTCTGCCCTGGTGAGACCGCATCTGGAATATTGTGTCCAGTTCTGGGCCCTCAGTTCAAGAAGGACAGGAACTGCTGGAGAGAGTCCAGCGTAGGGCTACAAAGATGATTAAGGGAGTGGAGCATCTCCCTTCTGAGGAGCGGCTGAGGGAGCTGGGTCTCTTTAGTTTGCAGAAGAGGAGACTGAGGGGAGACCTCATTCATGTTTATAAATATTTAAAGGGTGAGTGTCACGAGGATGGAGCCAGGCTCTTCTCGGTGACAAACAATGACAGGACAAGGGGTAATGGACACAAACTGGAGCACAGGAGGTTCCACTGAAATTTGAGAAGAAACTTCTTCTCAGTGAGGGTGACAGAGCACTGGACCAGACTGCCCAGAGAGGTTGTGGAGTCTCCTTCTCTGCAGACATTCAAACCCCGCCTGGACGCCTTCCTGTGTAACCTCATCTGGGTGTTCCGGCTCCGGCAGGGGGATTGGACTGGATGAGCTTTGGAGGTCCCTTCCAATCCCTGACGTTCTGGGATTCTGTGAAAGCACACTGTCCCTAGGAACAGACTCCCGCTGGCAGACAAAGCAGCAGATCTTCTCATATGAGGACAGAAACCAAAAATGGAAAAAACCTGTGAGAGAAATGGGGAATTCTAGAGCTACCCAGCAAAGAAGAAAAAGAGATAAAGCCCAAATACTTACTGAGTAGTCTTGTGAGGCTCTGCAGGGTGCTGGCTGCTCATGTGAGCTATGGTGGTGTCGGCCGACTTGAAGGCCATCGGGCAGAAAGAACACTTGTGGAAGACTTCGCAGTGCTTGTCATGGATGTGCACTTTCAGCATGGCGAGGGTTGTGAAGACAACTCCACAGTGGATGCACCTGCGTGATGCACAAAGAAAGAGCCGAGTTTTAGCCACAGTGTTGCTTCCTACACACACGCAAAGTGGTGCAGATGGAAGCAAAGGTCCTTGTTTAGTCTCTTCAGCAGCAACGTGGAAGAGTCAAGCAGAAATACGACAGAGGAATTCACAAGCTGAGCAGATCTCACAACCCGATGTTAGCGACAAGCAAACATGATCTGTAGAAGAAGCCTTCAGAGACTAACACAACTCAGAAAGAATAAAGGCAGATGTGGTTCAGCAAAATGCCAGCCCTGTGTCTGTGAAAGCCAATTCCACCACAGGTACAAGTGAGAACTAAAGTGAAAGCATCCAATGAGATGCCCAGGTAGCAACAAGCAGCATAAATACCAGTTAGTTGCTGGTACAAAATAAAAATAAAAAGAATATTCAGCTAGGAAGTCTTCAGTAACCCTGTACAATTGCATCTCATACTCCACTAGAAAATAATGACAGCAACTGCAAAGATACTGAAAACAGCAACAGAAATACTTGAGGAATCGATTAAGCTCGCTACAATCATTAACACACAGGCGTTGGCTGGGAGGTGCTTGTCTGGGAGCTGGGTGCATGCTCCAGGAGGAGACAGAGGAAGAAGCAGAGGTTGCATGTGGACCCAAAGGATTCTCCTCAGCAGCTGAAAACATAGAACTGGGGCCAGGAGGACAGCCAGGGTCACGCCGCCGGTCCCAGCCTGCCTTCCTCCCAACGCACGCCTGTGACAACAACGCCTTGATGCTCCCCCAAGATGGCAACAACCAGCAGCTTTTTTCGACACTCCTCCCGAAAACCCACCTGCCTGTTGTGCTCTCAGAGAAGCCAGACACCAACACTGCAAGGGCATACGAGGGTGCTGACACCTGCCCTCGTCTGCCGCAGCCACACCACCGCGGGGTTTACCATCCCCATAGGAGCCCCTATGCTGATTCAGGACCAGAGCAGCCTCTCCTAAGAAGATTCAATCAAAATGACTCATGATGGATCTCTGCTTAAGCCAGCACCACTACAGTGGAGGAGCTCAGCCGGGCAATCCAGGGGCCAGCGCTTGTGTCAGCAGAATGTGAGACACACACAAGGGATAACTTCCTCTGGCGAGCCTTATAAATATCTTTTTTCCTTCATTCTCAGGTCTGCCGTTCGCCCACGGCGCTGTTAAGGTTTGTGCGCTCAGTGGTGCTGCGGCACAGACACCGCCGTCGCAGATGGGCCCCAGCTATCAAGCAACTGGAAGAGCTCCAAGCCCGTATCGAAAACAAACAAGCTGCTGGATTATCCTTCCCTCCGAACGAGCCTCCCAGCAGCGTTTAGGAAACAAGCCCGCACTTTGAAGTTACACTTCAAAAGATCATTAGGCAGAAGCCAGCCTGAAGAAGCCAAACCCTCTCCCTGCAAAATATACACAGAAACAGTGTTTTCTTAAATTCAAAGAGTCAGCAGCTGGTGTCATCTTTGGGGAAGCATGAAAACATTCTGCTCAGGTAGCTCTGCCTTCAAGCCTGATCCTCATTTACCTGAAACAGGGAGAGAGACTTTCTAGTATAGTAACACCAGGAACTGTGTTGTTATGGAAGAACAAATTCCCCGAGTGTAAACGGAAGAACAAATGTTAACCCTGACAGTGAGGTCTGACTGGTACGTCTGGGAATATCCAAGGGCCTTCTTCCACAAACACTCCCTGAACCAGCAAGAGATGGTTCTGCATTAGTAGTAGTTCATTTAGGACTAGGGATGAAATGCGTACAAACTCAGGCTCAAATGATCACAAGTTAATTTAATTTACAGTAAATGGAAGTTTAAACAAGAGCCACTTTGTAATCAAGAATGCCAGTGCCAGAATGACAAAGTTTGACAAAGTAAACTAATTAGACAAACAAAGTGCATGGAGGATGTCAAAGGCTTGCCATGTAATTTCTGCAAATTGCAAATTCTGCTATCATCTCCCCAGCACGGGGGAATAATTTGCAAGAAAAGACTATCAGATAGCCTCAGGGCAAGGAGGGGTGGCGTAAAAGTCTTGGAAAGCATCCTGCGAGAGAAGACAGAGCTACAAAACATTGTCTTAACCCTCTGAACATTTCTTACGCTGTCACCTTCCATCCCCTCGACTCTCCAGATGGCACTGAGCAGGAAAATGAGTCCCACGCCGGTGGGGACAGCTGGAAGGCGCTAGAAGGTGGGGAGGTGACACTTGGAGCCAAGTGGAGAGCAGCGTTTAAGACGCAGCGTTCAATGTTGATTGTAACTGCAGAAGACCTTTCTCACTTTCAGTCTAAACACTAGCCATGACTAAAACCCAAATAAAGCAATCTTACTCCAATCTTAATTGAATGCATTGGGGTATCAGCAGAAAAGGAGACAGAATAAGGACTGATCACAAAAACAAACCCAAACTTAAGCATCAAAAATTCAAGAAAAATGGGGATACAGTGAGAAGCAGCAAAAGTTGAGCTTATCTTGGGAAGGATTTGGAAAAACTCCTTGGCTTTTCAGCTCTGCGAGTAACAAAAGTGAGAGAAAAGAAGTAAAATCGCTATGCGACCACAGGGCAGATGCCACAGATTATCTAGATACGGTTTGCAACTAAAATTTATTTCTTCTGTTTCCAACAATGCCAATGACATCAAGCCCGAGGCAGAGACAGGCAGGATAAAAAGGACGGCACAGCCAGAATTCACCTGTCTGGTGGTGAATTTTCACAGATGAGCTTGAGCAGATGCGAGTTAAAGGAGAAGTTAAAGAAATTTAGCTTCTAGAGAAGCTGGGTAAAGCGAAAAATTCTGCAAGGATCACTCTTGAGCTCTGTCTTGGTTTAGGTCTTCATTAATGCCCCTGGCACAGAAAGTAGATAGTCTGCTAATGACATCTGTAGATGGATGGGAGGTCTGGTTGCTGACAAGGATTAAGGCATCACAAAGATATGACTGTAATACATCTGGAATGAATAATGCTTTTAAAAAATGCCAGGTCACACACTTAGAGAGCCGAGACCAAGCTCTGCCATGCACTGCAAGCCCATCAGTTGGAAACAGAGGAGAAAGGACTTGCACTGGATCACTGCCAAAAGACCAAGCTTCTTACATGACACAGCTCAGGCCAGCGTCACCCTGTGACACGACACCGATCGAGGCATCGGTGGGGATGGGGGTGCTGCACAAGCAGCTCAGCACAGTGAAGTCAGGCCTGCATTTGGGATTCTCAGGTGCCAGTGAAGCCCAAGGAACTCCACCAAACCCGTGGTTGGTTTTCTGACATCTGCTCCATTCCCATTTTTTCATCTCGGGGAAAATATTTTTTTTCCCAGCTTTCCTCCTTCTCTTTTAATATTAAAATATTAACTCATTTTCAAACAGCCCAAGTATCACAGCCATTTAATTTGCAATGGAATTAGTTCTTTGTTGTGGGTTGTGCCCCCTCAAATCAGATCCCACATAAGAAAACCCTATCTGTATATAATTAAATTCAGCATCGGTTTGTTATGTGTTTCTTGTCTTCACAGTTGAAAGAAAAAGCCCTTGAAAACCTAAGTGTGATTTCATAACAAACCACACAGTGGAGGCTTCCTGAGTTTGCAGACATCTTAAAAGAACAGCTCCAAGAGCAGAAATTGTCTTATTCATTTTAAATTTCAAAGTATTTAATGGCAATCAGAGAAAAAACAGAACCGTGAAGAATCTTAAAGGGTCACTTAGTTCCAACTCTCAAGCAAATCATCTGTGTCTTAAGAGCTGTGCTGCAGTTGAGGTGATCTAAACATGCCAAGGAGGAAAGGCTTGCAGGGAAAAGCAATGTCTTTTACTAAAGCAGTCAATTAGCTTGGAGAAAAGACAACACACGCACATACACAGCATCCAGAGTCTTGGGAGCCTTCCCTCATCTGTCTCAGTTCTCCAAACACTGAGAAATGGGGCATACAAGAAAATAATCTATGCCCTTCTCGTGAAGGCCCACATCCATCAGTCCATTATAACTGACATAAACAGAAGTTCAAACCTTAAAGAGATTTAGAGGATTAAGATCTGCAATCTTTTTGCTACAAATATCAATCTCAAGATGCTCATCTGCAACTTGAATTCAACACAAGCATCCTTCAGCTTAAAGCTGCCTCAAAATAATTTCTGCTCTTAGAAACCTCCTCTTAAATCCATTTAGCAATTCCCCACTTGAAATGTGTTTTGTCATGCAGAAAACCACACCAGGGCCAGGCTATATCCTCTTTCATTTCTGTTGTAAGGAGAACACATTTCCAAAGATCTAAACTCCAGTTTCCGGACCCTCTGGAGCTGCACAAACCTGAACCCGACTTTGCGGGAGTAATGCAGGCAGTTCTCCTTGACGTGAGTCTGGAAATAGGCCGAGCGGCAGACGGCTCCGCACTCCGGGCAGCAGTACGGGGACTTGTGAGCGTGGATCCTCTGGTGAGCGCAGTAACTGCACTGGTTGGGCAGCATCATCTGGCACACTTGACATGTCTGATGAAAGAAAGGTTATATTAGTTCTTACTTATTTGGGTTTTCCCCCCCCTAATTCACCCTAGAAAACTTTCAGGTTCACAGGGAGCTCCAGCACATTCCTCAAGCATTAGCATTAACTCTGTCAAGCTCCTCAGCTATCCTCCTTATCATCTTTTTCCGCTGCAATCCTAACAGCTTCCACAATCAGCCATTCTGGATGACAGCAGCCATTCTCAAACTATGTTCCCTGTGGTTTATTGCCCCTTTTTCTCCTAAAAAAGGAAAACAATATCTTCCACCTCTTACCTCTGAAGATGTTCTGCTTGGTCATTGCTTTCCTCTCCACGTTAAGGCACTTGAGGAGGAAAGCACTTTTCTCAGCAAGCCCCCACCCCACACCAAAATCACCCCAAAAAGCAGGAAAACTCCATTATACTCCAACTCAAAGCCCTCACTGCCGAATGCAGTGCAGTCCTGCCGTGCAGCAGCCTTCCCCACCAAAACCACAGTTGTGTCTCTTGCAAATTTTCTTTGGACCAGATGAAATCCAAACTTTCAAAGGCCACAAACCATGTGTGCTATGATACCCTTACAGAAACTTGATAACTAGAACTGACGCAAAGACTCTTCCTCTCCTTGTTTCTGCACCCTTTATGAAATCCATTTTTTCCACTACTCTTAGAAGGGCCACACTTACAAGCAACACGACTTTGCAGAAGTATCATTTACTTGGCATGTCAAGTTTTTTACGTGGATGTATCGTCCCAGTTTCAACAGCTGTCAAACCTCTGCTCCCTCTCACAGCTGTCTTGACTTCTCTCTGTTTCTTCAAGGCCCAGGAGCAGCCACTCATCCTCTGCAGGATGCACACTACTTGATGACCAAGCAGGAGTAGAGCTGCAGTAGGTACTGGCCCTCCAGCCTTGAGCCCTCCAGGAGCTCAAACTCTCTTCTGTCATTAATAAACCCATGCAAAATTCCTCCTCTGCTCCTAACTGGCTTAAAAATGAGCTACAGCAAGCACCTCATTATGGATTATCAAATCAGGTAATTAAACTACATCATTTCTTCTGTTTTGGCCAAAGAAGGTTACGGGGCTCATTAGATCAGAGAAGGCGAGAAGCTGTACCAGAGGGTATGCTGACATGGCCAAACAAAGCTTTTCACATAGCATGTGCCCACACAGATGGACCAGCCCGAGTCCTGCACGCTTCGCTGCTGGCAACCGGGGTAGAAACCTGGGACAGAAGCCCCTAAATCTGACAAAAATATAAAATAAAATCAAGGGCCAACTCTATTTTCTGTATCACTGCTATTTCATGCAGCATCTCTGTGATGCTCCACCAAGTAGCATCCATCTGGGAACTGTCAAGAACCCTGCAGGTAACAGAAAGCATCATTTATAATAAAATGCAAAGCTATGACAAACCTGAAAAGGTTCATGGGGAGGGAGGGAAATAAAAAATTAGGTTTTTGAAGGAAGAAACTGCAGAAATTGCCAAACACATTGAAAGCCTCAGACACATGATCTGAGACGTGTCACAACTTAAGTTTAGAGGAGAAAAGGATTCCCCAGGAAAGAGAGAAATGGCTGGAAGAAACCATGTTGTAGGACCCCCATGCACACACCCAAATGCAATTCAAATAAACTCAAAGAGTATTTCAGCTATTCCTCAAGTGCTGCAGAATCCTCCTCATTTCAGCAAAGCAAAACAGCACGCCAAGCCATGGTCTGAGCTGTGAAATACAAATGGGAACGGGAAAATGGGAAACAGAAAAGCCCCCAGGACCTCTCTGCAAGATGCTGAGTGGGACATTAAATTCTCCAAAGCTCCCTCAAATCTCCAGATAACAGCTACAAGAAGAAATTAATGCTCAGAGCAGTTTTATTGTGGTTTATGGCATTTTAATCTAACTGGCTTTCGATTTGCAATGGAAAAGTTAACGTTTCGGAGTTGTTAAAACAGGACCCCTCTCACTTTTATCCCCTCTAGTATTTAAGGCGGATTCAGCACAACCACAAGCTGAAAGCACCTTTGCCCTTGTAGCTTAACAAGAAACATTTTCTCTCCAGATCCTGCCTTGTCAAAGCCAATTTAGTTTCAGTTTTAAGTCTGCAGAGACACTTTGGGGCTCACCTCCTCCTCCCCAGCAAGCCACTGCCCCAGGGGCACCCTGGCAATCAGCACGTGTTAAAAACCTGAATTTTCATTGCTGTGTGTGCCTGTGCTGGATCTAAAACACATCAAAAGCACCCGATATTCAACAGGCTCCATGCCTGGACACCGCTGCCTGCGGATGTGCAGGCTACAGTCAAGGAGCAGTGAGCACCCGTCACCTCCCTCCTTACGTGAAAGGCTCAGCAGGGACCAAAAATATGCTAACACAGAGCAGAAAAGTTTGGGGGATAGCTAGCAAGAGGCACTAAAACTAGTAGTTATCTCCTGCAGGCTCTGCAAGAGCAGGAAGCCTGCCAGAGAGTGCATACACACGATATGGGTATAAAAAGCAAGACTCGGCGGGGGTAAGGCTAAACGAGGTTGTTGTGTACGCAGACGCTGGGGAAGAAGCTGGGAGGATTCCCATGCTGGCACCACGCTCTGCAGGGGGGGCACAAAAAACCAGTCCAAGCCTCCAAGCTCAGACCATCTTGTGGAAGAGACAAGGAGTTAGGGAGAAAACACGCAACAGTAAGAGCGATGAGTCACACGGATAAATTAGTAAGAATAAGGAAAATTGTCATCTTTAACCAGCTTTACTTCTGTACTTGAGAAAAGTCAACACAGCTTCTCCCTGCCTGCTTCGCAAACCCATCCAGGCTCTCCAGAGGAGTTCACAACCACGCTGCTAAGGAAGATCTGACCTGCAGATGGGTCACTACCCAGAGTTCTAAAACGGCTGTGCAGTACCCTTCACTGAAGGATTTTAAGGAAACTAAGCTGCTACAGGACAAGAGAGGAAGGTTTTTGCTCAGATAAATAAGTAGAAGAAAGCAATAAACAGTTGGTTCTTTGGTGAAGGAAAGTCCCCAAAAAGTTTTGCTGGGATTTAGGCTCTTTGCAATAGTCTCCAAGTATCTGGGAACGGAAAACGAGCAGTGAAATGGCGAAGATTGATTATCATAACCCCACAACTCAGGATGTTACAGGTAAGGGTTGTCCACGAAAAACTGCAAAAAGACCACCGAGAACGGAGCGACTGGGTAATAAAAGAGGAGGTTGTATTTTTCCATGGAATCAACCAAGAAATACGTAGAGCTAAAAAGGTTCAGTGGAGGGAAGAAATTGTAACTGGCACCTTTACACTCACACTCACTCTTTTCTTAACACTTGCAGAAGGTGCGAGGCCAGAAACCCTGCCCAGGGCATCACAGGAGGGTCTGCTCGTCCATGTTATGCCAGGAGCTGCTGTGTTTATGAGGAGCAAAGGGGCAGCCACACGCAAGCTCCCCCACTGAAAGCTTCATCTTGAAGGCAAGAGTGGCTTTTTCTTTTGCAACTCTTCTGCTTTGTATGAGAAATTCTAACTCAGTTCCAGATGTCACATTTTTATCTCTCTTCTAGCGTTCCATGACTTTTCAAAGAAGTCTGGCAGCAATTTGAGACATTCATTAGTCAGTTATTTCTAAAGCATGTTACCAGGATGTGATTTTGAGTTGTGTAATGTCTGCGTTTCTCATATACTCCCATAACCTACACTTTAATCAAGAGCAATTTATTACAAGTTTTCTTTAATTCCAGTTTGCCTGCCACATTCCATTCCGCCTTTTCTCCCAGAAGTCACATACACACACATACACACACAAATCCTCAGAAGCAGAGCCACTTCAGAATACTTTATTTTATTCCCATTTTTACTTATCAGCTTCTCCAGACGGGGAAAAAAACTAAAATACTTGCTGAAGTAGAGTGAAGGTTGAAAAAATATACTGCTCAGGAAAAAAAATCCTCTATTAAACCCAACCCTGTGGCCACAGACGTCTTTGCAAATCAGGAAACCTACAGATAACACCCAGTTTTGCTCTGGAAAGTGCCTATGTAGAGGTGGTACAGTTAACCTTCCTGCTTCATTGAAAGGCTTGACTGCACAACTTGGCACCAGATTTTATCCCCTCATGGACGTGTTTTCTCCTAGCAGCGGCGCACAGCACCCTGTCCTCTCACATGCAGGCACCGTGGCAAAATCGCTGTGGCCAATTTTCTTGCTCAGATAAAGCCTGTGAGCAGAAAGGGCAGGTCCCTATGAACACACACTCTTTGCTTTCACTTACTCCTGATGCACAGGTGGAAAGGGAACCAGCTTCATTACAAGCAAAGAAACTTCACATCGGTTTGAGAGTTCTCTGCTCTGACTCTAACGAGTTAAGTGACTCTAACGAATTAAGTGACGCTGATGAATCTCACATCTATTTCAGAAATGCTCCCAAACTACAAGGACCCTCCTTGCCACGACTGTCGTGCAGCTTAAGCTGAAAACATGGGGCTGACTCTGTGGCATGGGATCAGGGCTACAGAAAAGATTCATAAGGCTAATGATCTCTAAATCTAAAAAAATAAATAATAAGGACTCAGAGCGAAACAGTCAGAAGGGAACAGAAATTATATTTTCGGAATGCAAATATTTTAAAGAGCCCTCGTCCTTCACATATTCAAAACAAAAATCCCCCAGCAGCGGTGTCCCAAAGCCCCAGTTCTTCCCAAATCCAGCCTTTGGCAAGCTTCATTTTTCTGCTTTAGGCAGAGCTGCAGGGGCAACTGACACTTCTGCAGCCAAGGGATTGCAGGCAGTTAGAGATTAGCAGGATGCTTCTGCCATAAAAAAAAGTGACAAATTGCTACTTAAAGTTAACCTTTAACTTCACATTAGCTTTCACTGAGTGCCTCCCTGGGACGCATGCCAGCAGCCTGTACCCATCAGCGAACATGCTCCGGTGTGCAGCAGCGTGATGTGCTGGCTCTGGCCTCAACACCCTCATCTCTGCTACCCCGCGCTCCCCTTTCCTACCTCCCACTGGTACA